CAATTGTCTGCCTTGTAGACGAAAAAACTTCCTCGTGCCCGTTGCATTTTGCTTCGATTATCACTCGTATACACCGTCTTTTCAGAATAATATAATCCGGCTCGAAGGACCAATAATTTGTACGAAATATTATGTGATCTCGTATGTGTGATGCGAGTAATTTGCTGTCCGTAATGATTTTAATCGTATCGTCTCGCCCAACTGTGATGTGACGGGGAATCCACGTAACACATGCAATTAATTTAATTCTCAAGATCGAGATTTATTGTTACGGTGCCGAGTAGATCGATGTACAATGTCGTTCTTTCGCTCGCCTATTGTGACTGTTTTATTTGTTATTCGCGCGACTGTTTGAGACGAAGTGTTTTCACGGACACGTCGATGGAGATCATCGAGGCTCATTTTCCCACTCGTCCGTGTTTTTCGGAATACGCCGAATTTGACCGAGATGAGACGAAAACGAAAACAGTGATATCATCGCGAGCGGTGTTCGGCGTAAATTATATAGTATAAAACAAATTTATAATAACATGAGGAGTTAATATAAAATAATTATAATAAATAAAATATAATTTAAAAATTAAATCAAAGTATAAACATTAGTTTTAATTTAGATTATAAGGTAATTTGAAAATAATAAAATTGCTGGGGATGGTTCTTTCATAAAATATGAAACTGATAAACTGAAATTAACTTAAATATTAATATTCCTTTTCATACTTATATTTTGAATTACTACATTTAAAATTATAATGACTACTTTAATGTGTATTTTGCAATTATAATATATATATATATATATATATATATAATATATATATATATATATTATATATAAATATATATATATATATATATATATAGATTGTATGTATGTATATTTTTAAAATTATTTTAGACTGCAATAAATATTATTAGAGTAAGAAACATAATACCATGTATAAATTTTATATATATTACATATGTATGTTAAGATAGAAAAAAGATTTGCGTTAAATAATATTAATAAATAAATATATTGAATCGCCTCTTGAAAAGGAAGAAAATATATAAATAATATTTTCTTTATCATTAAAGCATAATTTTGCGGAATAAAAATTTAAATTTTGAGTAGTACTTGCATGTATATAAGATCATTTTTAATCATTTTCTGACAACATGGAAGAAGTTTAATTAACCTAAATAATAAAAATTATTTTTAATTGTTTTTATGAATGTAAACTCACCGTACTGGGACCATCAGAATTAAATTCGATGTTGTTTGGTCGATTGCTAGTCTTTTTTATTCTCTTAATGAGCACATTTAGTTCAGAAATCATTTCCGGTAACGTCGATGTCGCACTTAGAAAACCACAAAATAACAGGAAACATATAATCCCGATTAATCTCATCGCATCTATGATTTCATAAACAGAAAAAAAATAAACAAGTCAAGAATTTTTGGAATATCAGTATCTAGATATGTCATCGCGAAAAAACGAACCTGACCGCGAAATGATACGATTGCGAGTAACCGCTCTTTACTAAAATCTTATATAAAGAATCCTTTATATATAGTATTCTTCTCTTTTACACGCTCCTTTCAAAATGAATCGAATTGTATTTGTGATTATTTTTTGTCAACTCGAAAAAGAAAAAAGATATAATATTATATCGCGTTATTAGTATTCATAGGCTTATTAAATTTTTGAAAAAAATGTATGTTAATTTATTTTGATTTTTATCGTTAACTTTGATGAATTGTAATGTGACCTTTTCGTTAACTAATATAGGTGTATTTTCTTCGCAATAGCTAAAAGTAGCTAAAAAATATTTTGATTGTATCTTTTAATCTTTACGATTTCAAATGATTTGTACATTGAACAGATATATTTTTTAACGGAAATTTTAATGGAATTAATGGAACGTTTTATTTTTAACATCTATTTTACAATTATAATATAAATAAATTGAATATATTTTTTTTAATTATTGTAAACCAAAGATTGCATCTATTTTTTTAATAATACTTAATAGTTTTAAAAAATTAGATTTTTTAATTACTTATTAATAAACATATTATAACTTTAATTATATACTTATTAATATACTTACGTCTTTGAATGTGCACTTTATTATGTGTGCCAGACGTACCTGGAATTTTCTTTCTCTTTATCATAATTGTCAATCATAATATTAATATGTCAAATGGTTTTCATAAAGGATATAAATACAAGATAAAAAACGCAAATAATAATAGTGATCGGTAATAAAATAATAATAATCAGTTTTTTTCACAAATGATTAAAACACGTCGAGAAAATATGTACAATATATTCTATATATAAATTTATATATATTTATATATATAATTATATTTATAAATAATATTTCTGCGGTAAATTTGAATGATTCGTAAATACGTAGATAAATTGAAAAGGATATGTGTTAAGAAACGTAAAAGTCAATCAGCTTTAAAATTATATACATTACTTAACATTTATTTGTCCTTATATTGTTTAAACTTTATATCTTTGTTATATTGTACATTTTTATGATTGCAATAATTTATTATTCAAAACGATTGCTTATAAAATCGTATTACGCATCTACACTAAATAATACTAAAATATTACTAATGAAACTAAATTAATAATAATACTAATAATATTAATTTATTAATAATAATAAATTAATAATAAAAAATGTTACAAATGCTAAAATATTAATAATAATACTAAAATATTATTAAAGTCTCATAAATGATATTAAAATATTGTTAGTTTGCGTTCTATTGAAAATTGATCATATTCAACATTACTAAAAATTTACTGTGCGATATTTATCATGTATTTTGATTGCTGACGTAATATCAATATTCAGATTTTTCTCTCCATAAGCTTAAATACTTTCTTGTATATAAATTTGGGCGTAGTCCTTGGCCCACAAAAATCCACATGATTAAATTTTGCCTAAGGCATTTCGTAAATATTTCCTACATTAGGCAACGCGTGATAGAGCCTTTGTTACATCCTTAAAAATGATCTAATAAATAAATTATCGCAAAATTTTCACATTTCCACCGACAAGAATAATTATTTTTTAAATTTTATTTATTTGTTTTAACGTTTTTCCTACAATTCTACGTACAAAACTTGACTCATTTATAAACAAATTAGCGCGAAATCAATATATCTCTCTCTCCTCTCACATAGTTTTTTCTAAAAAAAAATTGTTGTAATTCTCTTCTTAATTCTATTACGAAATTTGACTTGATATATAATACAATTAGCGCGAATTAATTTATGTTTCTTTCTCTCTTTCTCTCCTACGTGATTTATCCGCTCATGCATTCTTTAGCTACTCACCGCGATATTAATTATCCAGTCGCAGAACCGTAGACGAATGCGATTGGTACCGTGATGATCGCCAGAATGTAGTTTGGAGGTAGCGGCGAAATACTTCAACATATTTTTCTCACGACAAAGACTATAAGACTCCGGCCGGGCAATGCTTTGGCCAAACAGCCACTACAATCTGAAGTGGCTGTTGATAATAATCCACAATCTGAGGTGGCTACTGACAATCCACAGCCTGCAGTCTTAAAAGAAATGGAAAGAGATAAATTGCAACGTAAGTATCCATATTTATAAATATTTTTTTCTATTCATTTATCTATATAACCGTGACCTACTTTCACTTTTATGGATTGATTCCCTTATAATATCAGAAATCTATGTATATTCTTTTCACAGTAAAATATATAGAATATATCTGTAATAAATTAATAATTTTTATTTATCTCTTTCTTTAAGACACACGCTCTCTCTTTCTCTCTCTCTCTCTCTCTCTCTCTCTCTCTCTCTCTCTCTCTCTCTCTCTCTCTCTCTCTCTCTCTCTCTCTCTCTCTCTCTCTCTCTCTCTCTCACTACTTTACTTTTTAGATAAATATCTATAAATTAATATATATATAGATATATTTTCATTAAATAGATATATATATATATATATATATAGTAAATACATATTACGTATAATTTAAATATAAAAATTACATATTAAATCATACATTAGAAATAGATATTAATATAAATTATTATGAAAAAAAATCAATGAAATAAATCATTATGAATTCATATTTTCACATATCAAATTTTATTTTTTTTTATTTTTCTTATTCTTCTTCTCATCATTACTTATATCTTTTCGTTTCTTATCTTTTTTCCCTTCTTCTTTCTTTATCTCCTGATTTTTAAATTCAATTAGTGCTTGTAATAAAATGTCATCGAGCCCATCTTCAAGCACTGAAATTTTTAAAAATTTAATTAGATATCTATATGTATAATGTAGATTTATATAGATATAATTAAAAGATATTATGCAATTAAAATATATATTAAAAAATTTTAAAATTTTAAATTAATTATTATTAATTTTTATTTACCGTTTCTAAATTCTTCCATTTCTTTGCCTTGTTGACATTTCATCCGTGCTGTCTTGCTCATCATAATGATTCAGTTCATTGATATTGTAACGGCTTCACTACTTATGTTATTCTAAAAAATACATAGAATATATATCTACAATTAAATTAATAATCTCTCTCTCTTTCTTTAAGACACACACGCTCTCTCTCTTTCTCTCTCTTGGTGTAACACTTGAAAAAACCGCATCGTCGCTATCTCCAAAATTTTTGCAACATTTTGATACCATGTGTTCAGAAATATTGCAAAAAAAGAAACATACTCTCCTCTGAGGAAAAAAAAATTAAAAAATTTAAAAAAAACCCCACAACAGCCACCTCCGAAAAATTTGCAACATTTTAGTACCAATTTCATGAAAATCGGTCCACAAATGCGGAAGTAGTTCGCGTATATACATACAGACAGACGGTGCTTATATATAAAGATACTATTGTAGTCTCAGATTTTTAAATATATATATATATATATATATATATATATATATATATATATAAACATATTTTATGATGAATCAAATTTTCCATTAGTTTTAATGAGATGGGCATCTACGACATATCCGCGATGATTACATTTATTACTAATATGAGATCGGAACTATTGCATACATACATCGGTCATTCAATGGGTGCAACCAGTTTTTATATAACGGCGTCAAAGCGTCCGGAAATCGCTCAAATGGTGCGAATGATGATCAACCTTGCGCCAGCGGTTTATACAAACCATATGCAAAGTCCAATACGATATTTGGTCTCCTACAAAAAAGAATTACAGGTAAAGTAATATGTAAAGCTATTGTGTTACATGAAAAGAATTCATTACCATATAATAACTGTTTATAACAATATTTCTTTTTGTCAACAAAAGAAAATTAGGTATATTATGTTTTATTTTTACACTATAAAATATGTATGTATATAAACACATCCCTAGAGAATATCATTTTTTTAAAAATACTATTCTTAAGAGGATCCTAAACGTTTTGGCCGCAATCTGACGGGTGCTTTGAGAAGTCTTGTTTTTTTTTCCTTTTTTGTCGACAAAGAGTAATGGGATTTTTCTTTCACGGCAAACTTTTGCCGGATAATTTCTTGAGATCTATCATAAGAAATAATTGCGATCAAAATAAAAATTTCTGCAACAATGTGATATCTATGATTTTCGGTACTAATCGCGAACAGTTTAATCACGTAAGTAATAATTTTGTGAATGTCGTCATCAAAATACAAGTACATGATGATTAAAGTCGTTTCGTCCCGTGATTTGTATGATCACGCTTCAAATTATAATGTAAATTGAATATTAATATTTTGATCAAATAAATTTTTAATATTTAAAATTGTTAATATATTTCCATAATATAAAATTTTGATAATATAAAATATTTTGATAATAGAAATTCTATCAAGTACTTATCGTTTGATTTCGACAATATTCAAATATTGTTAAAAAAATAACAAAAATATAAATAAATTCCCAGTTATTAATGAAAAATAAAAATATGTTTCTTGCATTTAAAAAAACTATAGTCATCTTATTCTACATGTTATGTTTTTTTTTTTTACTTAGACTCTACTGCCCGTCATCTTCAGTTACTTTCCGGCCGGTGCCTCGATTAAGACGACGGCGCATTTCGCTCAGATAATTGAATCGGGCGAGTTTCGTCAATATGACTACGGTCGCGCGAAAAATCTCGTGATATACAACTTGGTGGAGCTTCCGGAATATGATCTAGCGAATATCACGATACCAGTTGCTTTGTTCTATTTCGACGATGACAAGTTGATCAGCTCGATGGTAGGTAACGAAAAAATCTGAAATATTAAGTATTTTATATTTAAAATTTAATTTGTTTTTATAAAAGTTTATATTTTATATTAAAAAATATATTAATGTATAAAAATAAAAAAACTATATATGTATTATACAATTATATTTTTTTTATTACTTTTTTACTGTTTTTTAAAAATTGATGTTCAAATAAAAATACATATGCAATAGAGATTAATTTGTATATTTGTTATGCGTTAAATTGTATATAAAATGAAACAGAAAAGAGTAGTAGTTTTTGTGTAAAATAACACGTGAAAACGATTTTTCAAGGATTTGAAGAGGTTGTCCCATGTATTACCCAACGTAATGGACTTATATCAAATATCGGAGTCCAAATTTAACCATCTGGACTTTTTATGGGCCAACAATGCGCCTCAACTTGTATACGAAAAAATTTTCCAGATTATGAGAGAGGAGAATCCAAATAATATTACATCTACGAAATAATGATACGTCGATAATTAAAATAATAGATAAATGTTACATATCTTTACTAATAAATACGATTTATGACAGTTCAGGAATTATTAATTCAATGAAACATAAATTTATTATACTTTAATATTATTTACAATTTAGAGTAGAACTAATTAGTAAAAATGAGAATTAAGAATAATATTGTAAGGATAGCTACAATATAATACATAAATATAATAGAAGTTAATATAAAGATGAAAAGACATGATAAGTGAATAAATATAATTTAAAAAAACAATTTGTGCAAGAATTTTAATACGTTTATTGATCCATTTATTATATTGTAAACACATAATTTTCTCTTTGCATTATACAATCGTTTCTGTCAGAAACAGATGAAATAAATAAAAGACTTTGCTTTTGTTTTTTCGTTAAAGAATTTTTTTGACAAACAATAAATCTTTTTGACTATTCAAAAGATTATAAGAAAAAAGGAAAGAGGCTTAGGATCATTTGAAAAAAATTATTCTCCCGAGTTTCTCAGAAATTTTATCGTCTGCAAAAAAAATGTTTAAAACGAAACAAAGGCACATCTGTCTTTTGTTCATTTTATTTACTTTTGGCGGAAAGATGGAGCGGAAGAAAAGAATAATAATCAATATATTTATTTCAAAAAAAGAAAATAAAAAATAACAATTTCTAAAGAATGATTTATATATGTACAATTTATAAAGAAACTAATTGTTTAGGATCTTATATTTGTTACAAATTAAAATTTTTTATATATAATTATATATATATAGGGTAAAGTGGGGTGTTGTGTGCCATGGGGTGTCGTGTGCCACTCAGTTTACCGCCATGTCGGATTAGTATGACGTCATCTACGTAATGTCAGCTTAGTTTCTAGACCTACTCTCACTTTTCATGAGCATCCGACGCTTGTGCACGCGTCCCACAAGTTTTACGAATTGTTCTCGTTTCGTTGTGCTCCGTAAAGTTTTCTAGACGATTCTTCTTCACGCAATTTTGCAGGCAAGTGAAGCGACAGGTAAATCTTCAGATATTTAAAAGTATCTATGGACTATTGCCTTCAAAATCGTTAAAGTGATTTTGTGCTAATGTAGCATGTGACGAGGTTATGGTGGCTATTTCGAAATGTAGCATATGGGATGTTGTGTGCCACTCCATTTTCGACATTTTACTCGTCGCACAAAAACCGTACCGGCAACAAAAACTCCTCCCTCTGGATCATCAGATGTGGAGGACGTCGACTTCTGCATTATTTGTATGCGCAATATGCCTAAAAAACTGAACAGAAATAACGCAATTCATTGCAATGAATGCGATCGGGCTGTTCATCTAAAGTGTGCAAATATGAAAACAGGATATTTCACTTGTTCTCAATGCGAAGCGGCTGAAACTGATTAAACTTTTTTCTATTATAATTATGAACGTATATTTTCATTTTTTCAAAGTTCAATAAAAAACATTTATCAAAAAATGCTATTTTCTACTATTTACAGTCGTGGCACACAACACCCCACAAATTTTCAAAATCCCAAATTTACACTTTTTTTTCAGAATTCGAAAACAATTTCAAAATTTGCGAAATTCAAAAAACTGCTATTACAGGTTCTTCGGCAATAAGATAAGCTAAAAATAGAATGTTTAACATTACAACAATATGCATTTTTGAGAAAGTTATGGTCCAAAAACAAAACCCGGCACACAACACCCCACTTTACCTTATGTATATATATATATATATATATATATATATATATATATATACATATATAATCGTAAAATTATATGTTAAATATATGTTTATGTTTATACATAATTATATAAATTTAATATATAAATAATATATAAATATAAATAATTATATAAATATAATAATATAATTATATAAATTATAATTATACTTATAATTATAATATAATTATAATTATAATTATATAATTATAATATATGAACCCTTAAGGGTTCATATATAATTATGTCAAATTATATATGAAACATATATATATTTATATATATGAAGAAATACTTATTACATATATATATATATATATATATATATATATATATATATATATTTAATTTTTTTTAATTATATATAAAAAGCATTTTTATCTAATTATGTATATGGACATATTTCATATATAATTTTGCGATTATATGTATTTTTTCTATATAATTTTATATTGTTATCATAAAAAAATTTTTACAAGAATTTTATAATGTCACTATTTACATTTTAATTTTGTGTTTTCTAATATAATTAGATTGAGAATTATTTTTTATAAGTGGCAACATAGAAATTGTATTTATAAATTTTTGTTCTCTCAAATTTGCTCTGCATTTGAACTGTGATTAAAGTGTCACACACACACACAATAAATGTTTTACAATAATATTTTATTTAATGAGATTACAGACATTAATATTAATCTTAATTAATCTCTGATTCTTTTCTTAGTTCTTCTAATTCTGTTCTTTTTTTTGGTTTTCGGATCAACAGTTTAGCTGTTTTCCAGAAGATTCGTTTTTTCCTTTTTAGACTTTGTTAAATGTTTTTTTCAGAAAGGGATAAAATAACTCAAATAGCACATGTTAATCTCATAATTTTTCACTGTGCCTAATTGTTTTATGATAAACTGTCCAAAACACTAATCAGAAACGTATCGACACGAATGTTTTCAAAGTCATAATTCCCAAACGTATTTTTTACATTTTTACAGACAACAAAAATTTATTTTTTAAAATGTATTTATTTTTTCTTTAAACTATTTTTTTTAATTCTATATATAAAGCTTTTCATATAATTTGGAATTTTTTAAAATGATAATCTGAATATTTCAAAATTTAAAAATTTATATGTAAAAAATATGTATATTTAAATATATTTTAACATTTTTGAAACATATTTTATATAAAAAAAATTGTGCAAAAGAAAATTTGCACATTATTACTTCCTCGTCATACTATTTTGCCGATTAGGATGACTTTTCAATTATGACTTTCTTATAAAGGAAACTTAACTTGCACATTGCTTGATTACATTGAATTTAATTTCCTCTATGAGGAAGCCATAATTGAATAATTATTCTAATTAGCAAAATAATATGGTTCGGAAGCAATGTGCAAATTTCCGTTTGCACAATTTTTTAATTCTTTGTACAAAACTTGACTTACATGTAATTAAGCTAAATCAGACAATTTCAATCAATTAATCAATCTCTCTCTTTTGTTATCAACGTTGAGCTTAGATAATTTTAAAATTAGCTAGATAAAGATGAGATGAAAATACGTAAATTTATCTTAGATCAAACAAAAATAATTTTGTATTAAATGTATCTAGATAAATAAGGTAAAATTATACAATGATTCATCTAGATAACTTCTCGATAATGTTATTTTTAAGATCGTTTATAAACACAGTTAAAAAATGTAAAAAGAAATATAAGTTTCTTATTTTTATTTCTGAATTATTATTCCTTAAGTTCTACTAATTATGTATTTTCATGTACTATGATTCTAAATTAAATTATCTGAACATTATTCTAGATAATTTCGTGAAGATAATACTTTTTTTTTCCAAATGATTAATATCTATATAAAAATAAGATGACGCCAAAATTTTATCTAGTTGATTTCATTTATATAATTTTATTCTTTAATTACTTACCACGATATCAATTACGCCGTTGCGTAAAACTATTTGATATTTTTGTGATAGATATCCTGATGTATCGGTGGTAGATCAATGAATTGTATATCAATAGATTTATAATATCTCGCGACCGTAATCACATAACAAAACTTAGCAGACCGGTATACGTCAATGAAATGCAGAATTGTCTTAGCTGAAACATCGGTTAAATCGTGATTCTGGGTTATAGTAGTAGAATGGTGGATGGTGGTAGTGGAGTCTAAACAGAAAAGGAGCACATACAAAGTTCAATTTCAAGTATTCTGACGTTTAAACGACGGGCAATCGTGCAGATCAAAGATTTAATCAAGGTTACATTTCTGTTTGTTACTGCGATCGAAAAATTTAGTATCCCTTATGTAATCTATATTTATAATTCTATATACAATTATAATGAAAGGTATTCGAAAGTAACGAATTCTTACTATATGCTGACGATTTAAAAATCTTTCGTAGAGTAAATAACTTAATGACGCAAGATTGATGCGGCAGGATCTTTTTTGCTTGGTGATTAAAGTAAGCGAAACAAAAATTACAGTTCAATCTGCCTAAATTAATGTTACATGAGAAATCTGAGAAAAACTATTTTACTTTTGAGCATGACTACTTCTGGAGTGGAGCCTCTTTCTTAATAATTGCTTCGATGAATGATCTCGGCGTAACTTTTTGCTGAAATTTGTTTTTTGAAATAGATGTTTTAAATATTGTAAATCAATTATTTAAAGAATTTGGTGTCGTCATACGTTTGTGTAGATACTCCAAGAAAATTGAGAATTTTATACTGTACATCAATTACATGATTTGCTATTATATAAATAAAATTATGTAGAATAATGTAGATAATTATCTAGATGAAACTATAACATCTTATCTTTATATAGACAATAAAAAATAAATAATAAATAAATAAGTAGATCTATTAATAAATAAATATGTAAAAATCTTGAATAAAATAATAAATAATAATAAATTGTAATTAATTATTTAATTATAATTAATTTATTATTAATTTTTTAATCTTAAAAAATATTTAACCACAAGATTATTATACCATTATTTAAATTCGAATCTTAGATTCTTTATGCTCACAATAACTCAGTTTACGTTGTACTATTTTTTCTAAAATGATTTAAATTTGAGTAACTATTAGTTTTAATTATTCATTAAATAAATCAATGGAATTATTTATGATAAATATTTCTTTTTTATCAAAAGTCGAGAGTAAAAAATTGGATAGTATAATCGTTAGTATCTTTAGTATATTTAATCCATCGCCATTTTTAATTCCCAATTAAATAAATAGCTATTATACATA